AATCCAATTTCGTACTGTACTGTTACTTGTGATAAAAAATGAATAGTATATGATAGTCAGAAAAAGAATGGAACGGTAACGAGATGTAGACCAACGTCCTACCCAGATGGCAACATTTGATCTTATCGGTCTAAAGTAATTATCAGGATCAGATGGAATACTTCTGTGGTTAGCTACACTGACAATCCGAATACTGTGAGGTTACTAATGCGCAAAAGGAAAGTGCATAAATAAAAACTCAAAGAAACTGCACCATAAAGTTTTGGAGAGAAATGAAGTATTGTCGGTACTCGACCGCATGTTTAAAATATTGTGAATAAAACTGAAAAACTCGTCTGTAAAATTATGCTTTGTCTGCCTTACTCTTCAGAATTTTTTCACTACTGATTATCACTTCTTGAAAAATTTTAAATTGTTTAGTCATTGGGAAAAGTGATTTTAAGCATGCCAAGATTGTCTATAGAAATCTTTTGACCTTTGAGTTCTATTATACTGAAATATCCAAGTTGTCACCATATTGGCAGCTTTGTATTGATTCTTTTGGTTCCTATTTCGATAGACAGTTTTTAATAGAAATAAAGTAATAACCTGTTTAAGTAAAAAACAACAATCAACAGATGCCTGTAAACTTACTAAATAAAAAAAAAATAACAACAAAATCTAAATGTAAAACAAAAAGAGAAAAAAGTTTTAAAAAATTATGTGTGATATTTTTCATCACTGATCTACAAAGTTTAATTATTTATCTATTTATACGTAATTAGGTCAAAGTAGTTTTGCACGTTACTATTTTAGTTATTACTTTTTATTAAAGGTTATGTTTTGGAAAAAATATGCATAAGTGTATGACAAAATAAAAAAAATGACCAAAAATAAGGAGTACAGTGGATTCATTTATAACAACAAAATAAACGTCTAGATCATCAGTAAGCCTAAGCAAAAAAGCAGTTAGAATTCAGCAGATAAGGAACCGAGATGGAATAGAAATGACAAAGAACAGCTTTCTGGCGCACCAGCATTGTCATTTAACTGTCCTAAGTAACCTTTGCAACTGACCGTTGCGTAGCTGTTGAGGTTAAATAAACTTGCAACAGGTTAAGTTCCGTTTTCTTAAACGTGAAAAAAGTTTGTTTTTTTTCTTTTTTCGTTTCCGATTTTTTTTTTCCTTCCTTCTAAGCAAAATATAAGCAGGTGTTAGAGCAAGCAATAACTTTTCTTTTTAAAACACACTTCTTTCTCTACAGCATCTATTTGCTCAGCCGTCACCAGCTGAATCAGCTGATTTTATGTAATCACTTAAAACGCAAACCTTCAAAAGGACAAAAGTATACAGATTTGCCACAAAATTTTAAAACTGTTGCAAAAAAATTTTTGTTTAGAAAGAAGTTCTTCAAAAGCTAAACAATACGGACGTTATGACCGCGAAATGTAACAGATAAAATACGTTAGAGCTTTTCTCTTATTTCTTAAAAATAACCATCTGCTTTTCGTTTCCCCATCAACAGCATAACTACTTCGCAGTAAAGCTCATCATTAACAATTAACCACTTTCAGCAATTCTAACACTACGACAAAGCAAATCTCACAGATAATACTGATAACAGAGAATGAAAAAAACAGCGATCTTTCGTTGCTGTAACAAAGAGTATTTGATAAAGAAAAAAATTGTAAAAAAAAAAAGGTGAAAAGGAAAATAAACAAAAACTATGGTCAAACAAGAAAAAAACAAATGAACAAAACAAAAAACGAAAACGATCAAAACTGACAGGAAATCAAAGAAAATGTTTTGAGAAAGGAAGTTTTACTCACTGACTTTTATGGAACAAATACGGAGAACGTTCCACTACGAATTCTGACCAAATTTGGACTTCCAAATTTTGTGTGCTGCCGTTGTTTTCCAGTCTTAAATGGCATCAAAACAGCAGCACCTGTAGAAGCAGCAGCAGCAACAACAACAACGACAGCAATGGAACAGAATAAATGAAATTTTTACTTGTGCTTTAAAAACTTATTTCGGCTTTTTTAACTGTCATTTTGATGAGCAACGAGTCAAAGCAGCTTTACCAATAAATATTCATTCATACTGTCCAAAAAAAATACACTAAAACATATCACAACCGTTAGCTGCATCTGTATTCCATGTGTTTAATTTATATCCATATGTTACTGTTCACTGTTCATTCAGAAAACATAACTGTAGAACGACATTAAACAGTTGTCGATCAAAATTTCCTATAGTATTTTTGTACTTTGAGCAGCAGCAACAGACGGTGTTTAGACGATAACAGTTTAGCAAAAAATCCAAAGAAGAGTAACATTCAACCAAAGAGATGAATCAAGTTGGATCGAAGCGATAGCGACGAAAAAGACAAGTGGGGTAACGATAACACCGATAATCTGCAACATCAGCAGCACTGGTAAATCAAGACTTAAGTCTGAGCAAGAATGAAATCAACTGCTTATAGATAATATTGAAAGATTAGTGATTTGTCCAAGATTAGTAAAAAAAAAAGCAAAAAAAAAAAAAGAGCAAAAATCACAAAGACAAATTTAACAGAAATTAGCGCTAATTGAATTCCATTAACAAATAAATATGCATAGCGTAAGAAAATAAAACAAGTTAGAAGAAAATAACAAAAGCAAAATGCGAAAAATAAAGGTAAGAGAAAAGCAACAAGTAACCTAAGCCAAAAGCAAAGTAATGCAAAGCAAAAGAAAAAACCTTCAACTTCAAATTGTTTTACGTTAAAATCAATAAATACTTAAAAATTCATGAAGGAAAGTAAGACTAAATGCTAAAAAAAACAGCAAACGTTAAAATATGTAAAACTACACTAATATAATAAGCCGGAAAACAAAAAATAGCATTTTTGGTTTGTTAATCTTGCTGTTGGTGTTGCTTTTCTCTTAATTTTTTACGAATGCTTCTTTTCAGTTTTTCTGCCAAAAAATTTCAAAAAATAGAAGTTTAGAAGCTATCGTTTTCAGCCCAGTTTTTGGTACCAGGAAAAACGCCAACACAGAAAATGCGTTGCCAGTCACCAAACTCTGACATTTTAAAATCCCGTAACTCAGTGGAGAATGGAAAAGAGCAAAAATTTTAATGTGAAACATTGCCTTTTTGTTGTAAAACTTAGCATAGGTCAATTTCAAAAAAAGAAAAAAAATTGATGAACTAAAAGCAAGAATTGCATGGATTGTGATGTAAATAATATGAAAATAAAAAACCTATACTCTTTTTTAAATTCTTTAACCCACCGTCAGTAACTTTTGCTTTTTGTTTTGCTCTTCCTTCTTCCTTTCTTCCGTTGATCCATTAGACTTTTCCAGTGGAATCATTTACTGATATCCAAATGTATACATATGTATACTTTGCATATAAAGTTTTGGCGTCTTTATTTTTGTAATTATTTTTTTCCGACAGTTATTGTTTACTGTTGTTGAATTTGCAAGAAAAATACAATAACTTGCTAAGATGACAAGACAGTGAATAAAAAATCGAAAATTGAAAAAAGTCTTGCTGTAGGCTGCTGTTTTAACTATTCCATTGCCTTCTACGTAGTTTTTTCCTTATTCCTCCAGTAAACCCACTCACTAATTCAAAATGTGTACATTCGCTTATTACACCTATTCAATCAATCTATTCACCTAATTACTCAATCAGATTTAACTATTATTTACGTACGTTCACCTACACAACCGGTCACTTCTTTGCCTTATCCGCCCATCTGTATCACTCATTTATTCAATCTTCACTTATTGGTTCACTCACCAGACTACTGAACCACATCACCTTATCATATTCATGTGTTTTGGTTTATAGACAGCAAATAAACAGCTGAATTAAAGGAACAAGAAAAATATATTGACAACGGCAGCATAAATGATAGCAATAATAATGACAAAAATAATAACTGCAATTAATATTTGATAATCAGGTGTTGCAACAACTACATTTCTTTCACTGCTTTCCTACCAGATGTATAGATTTTTGATTTCCATAAGTACTTCACTCACGTTACATTCCTCATTCGCCTCCAGTCCTTACATTTTCTTTCTCTTTAAACTTTCAGTAAATCTTTTTCAAATCTCCCTGTTGTCAACAACAAAGAAAAAGAAAAAAAAAACAGAAGCAGAAAAAAAGAAAATTACGTAACAACCGCAGGAGCAACAAACGTAAGGCTAACAACGGCAATAAAACAACAGGTATTGGTACTAAAGTCGCCCATGTGAAAAAATAAAGAGCTAAACAGATACATATTAATTTCTTATTAGAACTATTACTATTTCACCTAATCAAACTACTGTTCCTGCCCTTTTTAATTCATTTTTTTGTTGCCACTGCTGTCTTAGTTGACTCTAAAAGAACGTTAACAATGAGAGCGAGAATCGTAATTCAGCAAACTGTCACTGATAAAAAAAGGAAAAAACTGAGTCAAATTGGTTAAAAAAAAAGAAAAAAAGAATACAGGTAGAAGAATGAATTCAGGCCGAGAAATAAATGCTAGAAAAAGATGAAAAAGTCCGTTTCGATGACGTCCCCAAATCCACCCACCGATCCTCTCCCCCTTCCTCCTCTTCCCACCACGCTCTCCAATCCTCCTGTAAAATTTCCGCTTCCCACAATAATATGTTTCAGATGCAATACGATAATGAGACAAAAAACTTTCATTCGAGAAAATATAGTTTTGCGGGCTACAATAAGCAGTAAACACCAAAGACAATAAACTTAGCAGAAAAATAGATGCGGATGACAAAAATTTTGAAATTTTAAATCTAGGAAAAACTGTCGGCAAATAACAGAAGTAATTGAACAGAAAAAAAATAATGCTAGACTTGTCCACCATGAATCACAAATGAAACATGTTTTTTGTATGTATATATGTTATTTTCTCTAATTCTTGCTGTTTTGACGTCTTTGCAGCACTGAACTTTAAAAAAACTACTTTAGTAAAAAAGCAAGATATGTACCAGATTGTCGCAGTATTATATACATATATATGTATATAAACAACACTCAGTTCCTTAGACGGTATATAAGATCTACGAACTTTGCGCGTACACATATTTGCATGAATACATACGATAAGGAAAAAGGTTTTGTACCCAACTCAAGCACCGACGACAACAGAGATGACGATGGCTACCAGAGCAACAACAGCTGCAGCGCCAATAACAAAAACAACAACAAAAACAACAACAACAACAACAACAACAACCACAACAACAACAACGGTTGCGACAACAGTGACTACTCCGGAAACCAGGACGACGACGACGCCGACGACGTCAGAACCAGCGACAACACGAAAATGCAGATATGCGTTTTTGACACCCGAAAAAAAAAGAATTTAAACGACCCCTTTCATCAGTAATGTCCTTAAAGTTTCATTGTATTTGCTTTTTTTCCCCTTCATCCTTTGTTTTCAATTTTGTTTATTATCTTTGTTCCTAGGAACGACGAGGGGCAAAAAGCCTCCTCAAAAAACCATCAGAACTTAAGTTTATTATCTTTTAGGTTCTTTTTAAAACTTTATTTCTCATCCTCGTTCTCCGTTTTATCTTTGTTCCTATCCAAATTTTCAAGCAAAAAAAAAAATGGTGAAAAAAAAATAGGAGAAGAAAAGCAAACTATTGACGACAGTTTAGATAATAGTTATGCACCCTTCAGTATTGTCAAATAATGGATAACAGTGGCTGAGATTCCTGTAATAATCCTGTATCAAGGGCAACAGCAATATCAACAGCTGTTGTCCAAGAGGCCATAGTAACCACTGTTGCAGCGAATCCGAAGAAACAGATGTTGTTGCCAAGAATCCAGCTTAATATCAACAGATACCCGAAGGCACCAAACAGATTAGCCGCGTTTAGAATATGTTATATCTATTGTAAGACTCGGTGATCGGCCAACTGACTGACTAACTGACTAACTGGCTGATTAGCTAACTAATGAACTAAGTTGAGGGTGCATCCGGTTTGAAATCTCTGTCGATGCAATGGAGGAGTTACCAGAGAGCGGAGAGGAGGAAACTGCATTTCACTACAGAATGTGTGTATTGTGTTTGTGTGTTTGTCCCCGTGTTTGTGTGTGTGTTGCTAGTTTGATTTATCTATTACTTCAGCATATGAAAGGGAAGGAGAGGAGGAGAAGGAAGAGGGGGGGGGTTAAAAGAGGAGAAGATAAGAGCCGAAATTTGTAGCAGACAACTAAGACAAAAAAAAAAGTTGAAAATGAAATAAAATAATCACTGTTTAGCATACTTCAGTAGCCCATTGTTGGTGTTTTATTTGAGCCTTACTTAGTATCAAAAGATGCTGTTTTCAAAATGTCACTAAACAGCACTTTCAAAAACTATTTTATGAAAGAACTGAACAAAAAAAAGAAGTTGCGGACAAGAAGTTCTTCATTACAGTATAAGCCAACAAATATACAAACGAAAAAATAAAAAAGCAATGAACAGCTATTCATTTCAAAATCAGAAAAAAAAACAAAATTACAAAAAGATGAAGAATAATTGCTCATCAATGTTACTGAAAGTACTGGTTGAACAGACGGGAAAATAAGTGTTCCAATTATTATATGTGTGAAGACGGATACATGTCCGGAACAACATTAGCAGTAGCAGTAGCAGCTGCTGCTGTATAACCAGGGAATAGTGCTGTTAGAGGAAGTAAAACAATAACAATGGCAGCTGAAAAAACGGGAGACAATAAGGTAAGGGAGCCAAAAAGCCAAACTTCATTATTTATCCAAAGCAAGTCGATTCATCAGCATAAGGTTTCAAGGAAAAAAAATTTTTCCATTTATTTGTATTTATTTTTCTTTTGCTTTTAAAAAATTCATTATTAGTATATATCAAATAATTTTTTTT